CTCGGCAACTAAAAGAACTTTCATGTTCTGTAAAACAACAGAAAAGAAAAGAAGAATAGAGAATTCAATTGCTATGTTAGTTTTTGTGGTTTTCTTTCTTTTTCTCTAAGTACCATATTTTGTGGGCATGATCTACCTAAGTTTTGGCCTTGACTGGAAACAAGCAGACTTCTGAATTGGAACAGATTTGTGCTACCGTTGGTGAGAAGTTGCAGAGGAGATGCATATGTCCCGGTTGTCATTTAGACAATGTGGGGGTCCTGGGTGGATTAATGGAGTCAAGTGAGGCAAATTAAATATTTGTAAGTAATCTGCTTCACATAGCCCCACTTTATGTGTTCATTTTACCTAGCATGTAATGTACTGGAAAAGAGAACTTGAGGAACTATAAATCTACGGCACTCCTATTCAGTATCAATTACCAAAGTTTGCCTTTGAATTCAATGGCATACAGGGGCCTTTTTTCGAGAGATTATTTTATCTCATTTCTATATTGGGGATACCAGATGGATGTTATTTACACTTAGGAATTGTTACCTGTTTGCGTACTTTATAGCATCTAACTCATATTGCCCGGTCATAAAAAGAAAAAGGAAAATCCTTAGGATGAAGAAGAAAAAAGGTCACTGGAATGAAGATTAAAAATTTCTTTGACACAATTTAGAGCATGCATGCAACAACACGATGTGCTAAAGGCTAGCTGCAATCACTGTCATCTATTTGTTCTATACATCTTGTATCATGTGTTGGTGATGCTTCTAAATCCTTTACGATCAATGATATCAATGTAGATTCGGCCTCCTTATCATGGTTGCTCTGCTCCTGCATTGATAAATTTATTCTTACCATCCCGACAAGAAATGTAGACTTGGCCTAAAAAAAACTGAATTTTATGTATACTGATATAGTTTGAAATTATTAGAGAAAACTTACGGTTTCAACAGGAGGTGGTATGGTGGGAAGAATGGTATGCCTTGCAACCACTCTTGGATTAGTAGAGTTCACTACTTCTATCTGTGTAGAGAAGAGGGCAGAGACGGGCCGATGGTCAGAGAACTTACTCTCGCTACGGAAGTAGGAAAGCTGTGTTAACCCTTTTCCATACCATAGAATTCTATCACACCTGCCACCATAATCAAATTACCTATTTAATTTTTTTTGTACCAAAAGAAAGAGATTTATCTTCTCATGATCTCATCCATTATTTTTGCAAAGCCATTTATATCAAGACTCACGGGAGGCATACTTGTGAAATTAGTCTGTGCCTATCTCTTAGAACCTAGAGCCAGGGCAGGGCCTCATGAATCCATAAATTGTAACCTAAAAGAGTCCAAATACTCAATAGTTTTAAGTAAAGAGATTATGGCTAGTGTTGTGGTCGTGTCTGGGTGAGAGAACTGAAAATCTAGCCAGAATCTAGCCAGGCTCTTACCATGCTGGAGTCCTTTGCTTCTCTCCTGATCTGCTTGGAACCCCACCTGAGTAGCGATTGCAATTTGATGAAGAATACTTGTAGGTAGGTGCAAATTCTATAGCTCCCTCCTCCCATCCCTGAAATACCCCACCATATTCTCGTTCCCTACGAAGCTGATCAAACTCTTGCAGTGCTCTCCAGTCTAGTTTCTTTATCAGCTGCCTGGCTGAATTGTCCTCCAAGTATAGCCTATAGTTGAGATCCCCGAACCAGAATATCCGACTGTTTCACAAAGAAAAATTAGCACGTTAAGGATGACTTCCTCCATTCTTTGATAATTTGACTCAATCTTCTTCCATTGTTTAATTATTGATCCTGACATCTGGTTAGAGTTTTACAGAATCGTAAGAGTATTGAGTTTGATTATGTTGAATTCTAAATCTTGCAAATTTGTCCTCCTATCATTTTGAATTTCAGGAACTCTTATAATTGTTGGGTTGAATAGTATTCATTAGCCAACCATTTTGTGTTCTTGTGTGATTAATTTTTTTCGCAAATGATGAAGTTTAAGAACCTTTTCTTGATTATTGCAATGATCAATGCTGAAAACCAATAACGGGAAAATTTTACTGCTACATTCTACTGGGAGGAACACGTACTCGTGTCCTAAGATGGTGAGAGGATGAGGGATATCATCGTCTGCAGGAGATCGAGGGAAGGACGTTCGCCTAAAAATCTCTGACACTTGATGGTTCCTTCTGCCTTCATCTCCTTTCTTCTCACCGGAAGCCAAATGGGCAACAACAAAGCAGAAACTAGTTCCTTCGATTGTCATGCTCACTGAAACCGAACCTTTGTTTCCCAAATAACCCATGATGCCACAGGCCACTGAACAAACTTTAACATTTGAAATGTAATACTTGCTGACCAAGTCACTTTTCATCCATACACTAATGAACACTCCTACCATCTTCTTGCTTGCCATTAGCTTGTACTTGCTGACGCCCTTTGGCTTTTCATGTTGGCTTCTTGATTGCTCTCGCATCGACGTCTCATTGTTGCTCATCCTGCTTTCAGGTTCAGAATTTTTCACGTATTGGTAGTTCTCACTTGGAATCGGATGCCATATAGGTGTCAACCAAGGGCACCCATATTCGTTGTTGAGAGTTTTCCCTATCAGCATGTTCCAATTTCTTGCTTCGGTTGGGTCTTCTGCTCCGATTACATTTCGGGTCTTCAAAGGCACAATCTCCTGAAATCTGCAAGCTAAATTGCTAAGTTGTGGCATCGGTTTATATTAATTTCTCATATCAATTAGAGAAAAAATAAAATAAAATTATGAACACTACTAATTAAGTCCAGGTTTATAACATACCCAAGAACATACATGTCTGCCGCATCCTTAAGATTCAACCACTCACCCAAATCCACCGCCAAGCTTCCTATGGGAGACCTTCCAGCAACATTCCAAGTCCCCACAAAGACTCTGAAAAATATATACCAATATGTTAAAATCCATTATGCTTAATTCCTTTTGAGATTTTTCCTTCTTTTAACAAATTACCTCAACTCAATTGTTGAAGTGCATGGATCCATTTCCATGGACTGAAAGAGAATATCATCCAAGTAATCTTCACTTTCGTCTTCACCCCCATCTGAAGAAGATAAAAAAAATCCAGTAATCAAACAAACACTTCGGTAGAAGACGAGGAAGAAGAATAAGAAGAAGAAGAAAAGAAGTCTCCATAGGTAGAAGTAACAAAACCTGAAACCTGACTCAGTTGATAAGGGTCAGCTCTCTTGTGCTTTCCTTTGAACCACTTTCTGAACCGTCTTCTTGGATTATGATTCTCGCTGTCCATGGCTAATTACAGCAGGCTCTCGTAAGTCCATGCAACAATTACAAAAAGATAGAGCAGTTTGTGGACAGGCTTTGTGCAACTTCCTGTAGCTTGCTGATCAGACGAAAGCTGTTTACCTCCTAGCATGGCTGATCTGATTCCATTTGCTGTACTGGACACAAAAACAAAACGTGGATTTAGCTGTGAAAATCATTGTATCTACCGCCTTATTATACCAAAGCAATTGAAAGCCTAGAAAGCGACAAACACAAGAAGCTCATACAAACTATGGCTCCAGCGGCAACCCCAAGAGAGAAGACACATACCCTACATATAGTCAAATATGGTTAGGAATTAGGGTATATATGAAAAAGATTAAGTTCTACGTCCCCTTTGCTTGAGTATTAGGGTTGCTTGGTTGGTGCTTGTCACATTCGTCCTGTGAATTTTAGGTGACAATTAGTTGATTACATATCCTAGTCAAAGCAGGTTATATCTAGCATATAAGGTACACTTACGAATGGTCTAACATGAGCGCCACATTCAAGCTAGTCGATGTATTTTAGAACCCACTTGTATCAACCGATTTCGTTGGTGAATCCATTTGTATCAACCACTCTCAATTCATCAATCATGAATACCACATTGATTGATTGAATAGAGGTGGATTAGTACTAATTTGTACATCACCGCTTGGGGTTTATGTATGATAAGTTGCTTTCCCAACTCTTAATAAAATCATCTCACCATCAGTCCATGTGATGCCATGGATAATGTTGGCCCGTAGCAGTAATGGCACCCGCGGCTATAGGTTTGGATTTATTGCATGAGCACATGAAATACATCGCGAGCGTGACAACAACAAAATAAAGAGGAAAAGCAAGAAAATCTATGGGTGGTAGTTATAATATTATGCAGAATAAATACATAAATAAATAAATAAATAAAAGTACATGGACCAAAACAGAGACCCCCTTCTGTTTTCTCTCAATTCTGGGGCTTGATTTGGACTAAGGCTCTGTGACATATTTATTTTGTAATTAATTAAATTGTGTTGTTTTCATGGGTTGAGACATTCTAGCGGGAGGAGTAGATGCGATTTGAGTCTTTGCGGATACCTTTCAACCTCAAACTATAATGAGATAAAGAAGCTTCAACCCTCCTTGGGACCATTTGCTTCATGTTCACATCATTGCCCGTGAAATGACAATATTGCCCTCCCCCTCAATCATCATATGATTGTTATTGCTGCCATGCTACCCCCACAACAAGCTAGGCTTGAGGTCCCCTCCCTCCACAAGGGCATTCAAGAGGGTACACTGTCCCAATGGCTTGCTTATTTTTCTCGGTAGAAAGGTTCCTTCAAAAAACCAAAAAAATATTTATAAATTTTACTTGAAGAGTTAAACAACCGAAGTTTTCGAACAAGGGACTTGTAACTCACATGGTTAGAAATAAATATCCTTTGCACGCGAGGTAAACAACCGAAGTTGGGAAAGTTATATCCAAGTATGTCAAAATTTAAGAAGTTGGTCAAAAGATACAGAGTGGAACCAAGATTCCGTTTGTTTATTCAGATACAGAGTGGAACCAAGACTAAAATTTGAACTTTAACGCCAAATTTTGACAATATAGATCAAGACACCAAACCTAAAGTTGAAACCCCCAAAATACACTCAAAACTTCTTTAAGACTACCTACCAAATACAAGATTTTAAGATCAGAATGCTGATCAACAAATTTGCTGCCTCTCAAAGAACTTGTTTCCACCTTGATTCATTTCTTGCATCCGACACCAAATGCTGCCTGAACATCACAATGAAAGCTTCCACTCTCTCATTCAGGGCCTCCTTGGAAACCTCCTCTGTCTGGTCTTCAAACCCCTCTTCCTCATTCTCGACACTCGTCGATCTCTTCTTACATATTTCTTCATCACATTCTTTAACTTCTTCTACTGCTTGTTCTGATGACGGGCACCTGTAACATTCCCTTCTCTTATTTTTCCGTTCAATATTCTCGACCACTTCTGCATTGCTGTTGTTGCTGCTGCATTGTTGGTTTTGATCAAAATTTGAGGTGGAAGAAATGGGAGTGAAGAGAATGGCTAAGAGGATGAGGTTGAGCACAAGGAAAACCCATGCCCGCCATTGCTCCATGAGAAACACCATTAATATAGCACGTTGTAAACACGCCATTAACACAGCTGCTCCTGCAGTGAACAAAACTGTGTGCACAATATACTCTTGAAGCTCTCTCTCCTTTGTTACTCTCCCACTCTCTTTTCCCATCTCCCTTTTGTGAATTTGATCTCTGGATATTACAAATTTACATGCCTAATGAAAATGGTGGTGATCTCTGTTGGGTTTTTATAGAACGAGGGAATGAAATTTCCAGTGGATACTTGGGGTTCACTAAAAAGCAACGGATTTTGTGGGATTTGTGAGTGCGCTTCACTGTATCACGGACCAGCTGTGATGATCAGAGAGACGTCAAGCTGCTTGGGGAGACAGCTAGACATAAATTCACCAAAGCCTGCAGGTCTTGTACCATCAGTCCAATACTTCATCAGCAACCTGCAACTCATGTGATATGATTTCTCCAACTTTGGATTTTGGGCAATTGGGTTTGGCTTAAAATTTAAATTCCTGCTTGCCCAATTAACAAAGGTCACTACTTTGGACTGGGTCTATTGATTTTATTTTATTTTCTGCTTGGCAGTTAAAAGTAGCACTAATTGTACAGGTAAAAAAGTTCAAAGATTTAATGGACTCGTATGATTTGAGGCAACAGTTGTTCTGTTCTGCATAGGAGAGTAGGAAGGAATATCGTACCAACTTAAAGCCGCATGCCTTTTTACTTGAATGGAAAATTGGAAAAGCAGAATTTGCCGCATGATAGAGGGGCAATGAAATTAAAAGTAATGCTCGAAAAAGCACGCCTGTTTGCTGTTTGATGCAATTCATCATCAGAAAATGACCCCACATGCCGAAATTACATCACCAGCGGCAGCGGCAGAGGCAGCAGTTCAAACAGAGAATCATTCTTTTGGTTCTTTTGGGTTTCTGCGTAATTCAATCCAATGTTTCATAAAAAGGAGAGATTTGAAATCTACAGGCTACAGGTCCTTTGATGTTGAAACAGTAACCCTTTTGTTCTCAATGTTTAAGTTTCATTCAAATGCAATAACCAGAGTCTAGTGCTGTGAGCAAACCCTGTTGGTGTCAAACGACATTGCTTCAGATTTCATATTTTTTTTTGGCGGGGCTAAAGAATCAAGTCAGTATCTTACATTAAATGGTCCCAAAATAAAATCTTTCAAAAATGACTCAGATTTTCAGAAATTACACAATTCACTATCCCATCGAAAACAATAGATACAACATTCGTTTGAAACGATACTGGTTATTATTTGTTAAATTCATTCTTCGAATTGTCTTATTTCTTCTGAAAAATGATTTGTTTACATGGTGACTTGTTCGAACCGTTTGATGTGCTATGAGAATGAATTAACAAGATTATATGCATCGGCTTGAAATATGCTTCACACCACGACTAAAAATGTGAACAAAACTAGAGCTTACTGAAAATCTGGAAAGGATAAGTGAGAGAGGCAGCATTTCTATTCGAAAGGAGAAATTTTGACAGGAATGGGGAGGTGTCAACCTGTCAGGTTTAGCAACTGTATCAGATTGTAAGATAAAATATCATTATGTAATTAAAACTAACAATTTTTGGATTTTACTACTGCAGAGTTATAAATTTCTCTCTCACTCACTCTCTCCCCTGATGCAATGCAGCCATCTGCTCGTCCAATTTCTATGGAAAATCATCTCTCAAAAATCAGTTCTGATGACCCATCTTATCCAACTTAACACTCGTCGGATAGCAGAAGCCATCATTGTTAAGACCATTTTTTCCCAGACAAGGATATGAGCTGCCAACAAATAAAAGATTAAGAGAGATCAATCATCCTGTAACAGTAACTTAACAAGTATTTAGACAGTGAATTTATAAAACAAAAGGTTCATAAACACCACCATTTATTAAAACACATATATGCCTTCAGCGATCATGTTATGGTTCTAGTCATTTGAATTAAAGACAGTGCAAAGTGATCTTTGTCCTCGCGTGCTAAGACAATTTCATGGATATGCAAAATAAGGTCAAGTTATTTCAGTTTTCTAGTCACATTTAAGGGAGTTAAGAGAGGGACCGTTGGAAACCAACCTGTCGAGCAACCTGAGCCAGTCGCCGGTTGTCCCTAGAAGATTCGTTCATCATCTGCGGCTCTTGTGCAATGCATTCGTTCTCTTCCATCCTCCTCTTAGAAGTGCTCCCTTCAAAAGAAGATTTTTGACCAGGGTTTCTTGAGGAATTCTTGCGCTTCCTCTGGAAAGTGTATTTGAGAAGTCTACCATTGTCTGCACAACTAGGAGATCTATTTGATTGTTCTGATGCTTTCACGTCTTTTAATTCAGAATTCATTAATGATACTCTCACATCTTTTAATTCAGAATTCATCAATGATCCATTCACATCTTTTAGTTCAGAATTCATCAATGATAGATCAGCAGTAGCATGGTCAAATTCAGAACTTGGAGCCTCTGAATTCTCCACAATATCATTTTCCTGCACTATCAACACAGGCACATCTATCAACCCCATGTCCTTGTCTGCAGCATTCTCGCCAGCTTCAGCTTCATTAATCTCCTTCATACTCACAGTAACACTTGTTGACCTTGATATAGGATCCATATCAATTAACGTCAACCCATGATCCAGACGGGGAAATGCCTTCATCCTTGCCTCATTCTGGGTCGTGTTTGGTCGATCTTCGTATGATTTAACACCACCATTACCTAAATAGGCAAAAGTCCTGCAGCGTGAAAGAACAGAAGACGGCTGATCAGGTTTCGTAAGCAGACCAGTTGAGGTAGTAATGCCATTCTTACTATTCATTTTCCTTTTTCTTTTTCCCTTCCGAATGGTCTTAACTTCGTCCATATAATAACGGTTACTGTGCTGCAAACTTTCTTCCAACCCACTGGGAGTTCTTGTCATGTCTACATTGCCAGCTTTGACAGAGGGTTGGATGCATGCCTCTTCATGGGACCTATCATTTTCATTGACTGAAGTTGGTTGCCGAGATTTCATGAGCTCACTAGGGCAATATTGGCGCGAGGTTTTGGCTTTCCCAAATCGAGTCTTTCGTCTTCTTAATGTGCGGACTTTAGAAGGCTTTTTGGTTTCTCCCACACATGGGTTATTAATTACTTCCATGCTGTTGTCCCTACTAGAGGGGGAATTACAGTTTCCTTCCTCCTTGTCACTTGCTTTGGTGCCCAACTCATTCTTCCCGTGGGAAATGTGATTGTCTACATATCCAGAAGGCAGCACCTTTTCATCAAGTAAATTTCTTTCAAAAGCACGAATTCTTTGTGTACAACCATTTCTGAGCAGCTCAGGCTCCTTACTTCCCATGATTATTGACGCAAGGTCAGAGTCAGGGGCGTAAAATTTATCCAAATCAGAAACACTCAACTGCTCACTTTGTTTCATTTCATTACAGCATTTATGGTCAATACCTCTACTCACTGGGATGTTGTCCAGGCCAGAAGTTGGAACAATTTCATGTCCTGAACCTAGACAAGAGAGTAAGATGGGCTCAGGTGTTGGACTTTCTGAAAATGATGCGTCTTCCCTTGTGATTTGTCTATCCAAAGGCTTCACTTGGTTGCTATTTACCCTCTCCAATTCACTCCATACTTGTTTCAACTCTGATCTCAAATCAGTTATGATATCCTCTGCCTCTTGGAGCTGTGCTTCAAGCTCATCAATCCTTCTTTGTTGGCTCGAGGATGTTATCTCTGCTTCACTTGTCTATAAATTGAAATGTTGGTAAATGCAGTATAAGAGCAGGCACTTATGGTAACTACAATGAGTGAGTAATCAGTAGAAATTCCATAAGTTATATACGACACTCTTGTATCATTCAATGTGCACATGGGTTTATTACAAAGAGAATCAAAAGAACCTCCTAGCAATACCAGACAAGGCACAAGTGGTATATCACAGGAATTTCAAAATGTGGAGATTGGTTAAGCCAAACAGTATGGTGAATATTTTTGGGCTAACGTTCACTGTAAACATTAACAAAGAGAAATGGCAGAAGCTTATTCAGAACGGTAACATTGTCAGCACAACTGTATAACTAGTAATTAGCATATGGAAACACTTTCTTGCTGCTCAGAAATGCAATTGCTTTAACAGCAGACGCAAAGACAAACAATTTCAAAGTGAAGCTTCTTCAAAGTTCAAAATAAAAATGGCTTCTTTCGCCACAGTGAATGCAATTACAAAAAACACATACACATTCAATGCAAACTAAATTACCAAGATTCATGAAACCTTCTTGCCAAACAAGACCAGAATCGGATCATCGAAACTAGTAAAAGAAAAAGAAAAAGAACAAAACTTTCGAGGATGCAAAATTCGAAAAAGAAAAAGCAAACCTTGGAATCGATCATTTGCTTTAAGCGGAGAAGCACGCGAAGCGACTCATCTTTGGTAGAACGCAGATCGTGCTGAAAGCGAAGAGCTTTGTGCTCCGACGCCATTACTCTCGCCGCTGCCTCCTTCGCTGTGTTCAGAATAATCTCCGCGTACGCCTTCTTCACAGCCACCATTTTCTGCATCGTCAACAAAACAAAAATTAAATAAGCAGATAAACACTGATTTTTGAAAACAAAGACTTGAAATTGAGACGGTGTAGTGGCGGCGACGGTGGTGGAGCCGTCAGTGGTATTGGTGGTTAGGAAAAAAAAGTTCTTTTTGGAATTTCACCTGTGCCTCGTCTTCCATTTTCTCTTCGGGGCCAACGAACTAGTGAACTAGTGAACTAGTGAGAGTGGCCTAGAGAGAGAAAAGGGGAGGTTATTGGTTATTTGGTCATGTTTTCCCCTTCGGGTGTTGGCTGTATAGCGTGTGCCTTTGTCTGTTAGGAAACTGAAAGTCTGTTCTCTCTCGAATGTTACGTAATTACCCCTCAACTAGGCTTTGAATTACTATACTGACACTATGCCTTCTCGCGTTCCCGTTCCGTTATGATAAGGACAGTAGGTCTTGGAGAGACAGGCTTTGAAATAGAAGACGACATCGGAATCGTAGTTGAACTCTTTCCATGATGTCGTACGATTCGGGGTTGGTTTGGTCATTTTCTACTGCTGAAGGCGCGCAGACGCAGAGGATGGACCGGGTGCCCACCGAGAACATAAATGCCTTTTTTGGAGGACCAAAAAGACGCGGGTCACGTTTCTTTTGTAAACGCGCGGTCACGCAAGGATATGTTCAATTTTTAAAAATTTGAAAACACTGGGCAGCAGCAGGAGGAGGAGGAGGAGGAGGAGGAGGAGGGGCGTGGCGTCATGTCTCATCTCTGCTGTTGCTGTATGTTACGTTTCGCGTTGGTGTGTGATCCAAAGTTTGGCAGACAATCAGCACATCAGGATATTATTGGGTCTCTGTTATTTATTGGGCTTTAGATGTTGAGATTGAGCTTGATTTATGGGCCAAATTGTGGGATGAGCAAGCTATTGGGTCAGGAAAAACAAGCCTGTTGGATAACAGATGATTTGGTGTTTTTTTCCTTGAACTGTTCTAATTTATTGGAGTGCAATTCGAACTTGGTTGTAAGAAAACATGCACACTGTCATAATTAACTGACTTAATCTACAATTGCTAGCATATGGTGCCTCTTAACTGGACTACATTCTAGTCTACTATTCATATGGTAAGAATGGAGAAAACTTTAGGAGTGATAACTGTTTTGTTTTTAGTTTTTAATTTTTCAGTTTCGCAATTTTTTTTTTGAAACCTTTTCTATTGAGAAATGACATAGCATACTAAACTCATACAAACTACACAGATGTTAGGATTCAAATACATGACCTTCCATAAGGGAATAATTGTTCCAAACCACTATCCTAGTGAAACCTTTACTAGTATCGCATTTCTTAACAATGCGTATATCAAATTATGTGAATTTGTAAGACACAAGTGAATATAAATTTTTCTTCACAAATATAGTTGATTTTCTGAAAAAGAAAAAAAGAAAAAAAAAGGGACATATTTTTCTGTACAATTGGAAGGTGTGTAAGAAAAATCTTTGTTCAACAGAATTTGATGAATATAGAAATAGTAAAAAATTCCAACCCAATCTAAAAGCTAGTGTGGAAAAACAAAATATCTAAAAGCTAGTGGCGGTCAAAGATGCATATTCCAATAGTCCGATTGGCTGCGCACTAAAGGCCAATCATCATGGATAAAATAAGGAATTAATTATAAACTAACGAACTAATTAGAGAGCTAATGAACAAAAGATTACGGTATTGATTTCGGGTGCAGTAGGCAGCCCCTGTAGGCTGTAGGTGGACGACCTAACTCAAAAAACAAGCATCTGGTCAAATAAACCCTCAATTAAAAACCCCTTCCCAACTAATCATAGCTTGATTTAGTCAAATAATTTATCAAACCCCGGAGTCCAATTGTCAATCTCCATCATACACTCAGAAAATTGAATTCAGGGATTCATTTACTTTATGAATAAATTGAAAACCTATTCAACCAAATTTCCATGCGACTGTTTGCCCGGGCCTGGTGGTGGTAAGTGGTAATTTCCCACATCCAACACCCGGAAGAAGAGAAGTCAATGGCCCTCTTCTCTTTGAGACTTTCCCAATCAGATTCAGAATACGCGCAAATTTGACAAGTCCTTGGAGCCTCTTACGCCTCAAACACGCACAACCCATCATTTGTTCCATAGTGAATTGCTTGAAGATCATTGCTTTTCTCAATATGATTGGCTCAATCTCTAGCATGACTGTTAGGATATGGATTGCCATATTGTTCTTGAGCTGTGCTTGTTATTGTTCTTATGGGGCTGTGGTTGAGGACGATGTGAAGTGCCTTCAGAGCCTTAAGCAATCTCTGAAAGACCCACTTGGAAAGCTGGCCTCTTGGGATTTCAGGAACACGTCTGTGGTTTCCATGTGCAAGTTTGTGGGAGTTACCTGCTGGAACGATCGAGAGAACCGCATATTAAACCTTGAGCTCAGAGACATGGAGCTTTCTGGTGCTATTGCGAAGGACATAGAGTACTGTTCCAGCCTTCAGAATCTGGATCTTGGAGGCAACAAGCTTTCTGGGTCGATCCCTCCTGATATTTGTACTTGGTTGCCATTTTTGGTGACCTTGGACTTTTCCAACAATGATTTCTCAGGCTCAATCCCAACTGATCTGCAACACTGTAAGTACCTGAACAATCTGATCCTTTCGGATAATAAGCTTTCTGGGACTATACCTTATGAATTTTCTAGCTTGGTTAGGCTCAAGAGGTTTTCAGTGGCCAACAACAAGTTGACTGGTACTATACCTGCTTTTTTAGACCGTTTTGATAAGGCTGATTTTGCTGGGAATAGTGGGCTTTGTGGAGGGCCTCTTGGGTCAAAGTGTGGTGGGTTGAGTAAGAAGAATCTTGCTATTATAATTGCTGCTGGGGTGTTTGGTGCCGCGGCTTCTTTGTTGTTGGCTTTGGGGCTATGGTGGTGGTACCATTTGAGGTTGAGCAAGAAGAGGAAGGGAGGTTATGGGGTTGGAAGAGAAGATTGGGCTGAGAGGTTGAGGGCTCACAAGCTTACTCAAGTTTCCTTGTTTCAGAAACCCCTTGTGAAGGTTAAGTTGGCTGATTTGATGGCGGCTACGAATAATTTCAGCCCCGAAAATGTGATCATTTCATCTAGAACAGGGACTACTTATAAGGCTCTACTTCCTGATGGGTCGGCTCTGGCAATTAAGCGGCTTAGTACTTGTAAGCTTGGTGAGAAGCAATTTCGGTTGGAGATGAACCGTTTAGGACAGCTTAGGCATCCGGATTTGGTACCCCTTTTGGGGTTTTGTGTCGTGGAGGAGGAGAAGCTTCTGGTTTATAAGTACTTGTCAAGTGGGACTTTGTATTCTTTGTTGCATGGAGGTGGTTCTGGATTGGATTGGCCAGCTAGATTTAGGATTGGTTTAGGTGCTGCAAGGGGACTTGCTTGGCTTCACCACGGTTGTCAGCCTCCAATTATGCACCAGAACATATGCTCAAATGTGATCCTCCTTGACGAGGATTTTGATGCTAGGATAATGGATTTTGGCTTGGCAACGCTTACGGCTTCTGATTCTAATGAAAGCAGTTTTGTTACTGGAGACTTGGGAGAGCTTGGCTATGTAGCTCCAGAATATCCAAGTACTATGGTTGCTTCACTGAAAGGGAACGTTTATGGATTGGGAATAGTGCTTCTGGAACTGGCAACTGGGCAAAAGCCACTAGAAGTCACCACTGTTGAGGAGGGATTTAAGGGTAACGTGGTGGATTGGGTAAATCATCTAACAAGTTCTGGTCGAACCAAGGATGCCATTGATAAAGCTCTCTGTGGAAAAGGGCACGATGAGGAAATTTTGCAATTTCTGAAAGTTGCTAGTAATTGTGTGGTTTCTCGGCCCAAGGACAGGTGGTCTATGTACCAGGTTTACCATTCATTGAAGAGTATGAGCAAAGACAACAGTTTCACTGAACAAGATGATGAGTTTCCTTTGATTTTTCGCAAGCCGGATAAAGATTCAGCTTAGGTTTGAATCAAAGAGGGGAGGGGGATGGCAAATGGTTAGAGACTTTCATCTTGAGGTAAGTTCTCATAGGTTCATATGTAAATGGTGTGTGATCTCCCCTATTTTTTAGTATAGCTGTATAATACGATAAACTACCAAAACAGTACGGTCCTGCATCCCAATAAATTATTTGTTTGCCCTTTGTTATATGAAACAATACTCAAATGAGGTCCAGTGATATTTACAATATGCTTCCCTGATTTTGCCCATAAAAGTTTGGTGTGAAAGATGACAAATGGAACTTTTAATGTAATACAACAGTATAGCAACCAGAAGATTCCTTGCCTTGTAGGGTCATATCTACCCAATCTGTTTGAAATTGCTATTTTACTACTTTAACAGGGTAATTGTTTGTTTTGTTTTTCCTTCTAATAATCAGATTCAATGCACTCTTAAAGAAATTAACCCTATCTATGAATATGATCAATTTATGTCTTGGCTAGAAGAACCAATGGATAGCTTATAGGCCTGCACTGAATAGTTGATAGAACTGAGTCTGAACTATTGCTAGGCCAGAACTGAACAAAAAATCCAGACCTATGTAGAATCACATATGATATGAACTGATCACAGTAACTTTTAATCTTCTTGTCCTGTCACGAGGATTTCAAATTATCCAAGACTTAGATTCGAAACCGATGACTTTGGTTTCTCAAAAAACCTCTGTTTTCTTCTTCTTCTGATGATGACTTTGGTTTTCTCAAACACTGTCAAGGAAATTGTTTCTTTTTCTGATGAGCTTTCTGTTTATGAGACAAGAAGTAACATGCCCACTATTTTGTTCCTCTGTAATTTCGATCAAGAGAACTAATACTAAGATATTCACAGAAACTTTACCTCAGCTGTATCATTCCGTTTTCCCGACAATGCTAGTTTCCCCTGCATCATATACACACACATGCACAAACACAAACACAGTCAGCAAATAATTTGTTTGAGCCACGGAGTACAGTTACCTGTTATTGACTAGTTGTGTAATCCTTACCACTAGAATTAAAGTGGGACGATACTTTTCATAAGGCCAACTTTAAGTTCACGCTCAAATTGACCAGCTCAGGAAAGTTTTGTGCAGCAATGCATGCCAAGTCTAACTTGTAGGCTTAGGCCACTACTACCAGCATATTCAGTACGGCACCATTTAGATTTAAGTTTCATCACTGATAGCATGAGATGAGATAGGCCATTATAGATATGAATAAGCCAAATACGAATTTCAAAAGTCAACACTCTCAAGGAAGGAATAGTCGATGAAAAATATGCTATTATGTCGCGCCCGTTTGGTAGCTTGGACTGGACATGATTGAGACTGAGCCAGTCCAGTGCTATGCTATGGAGTTTCACCAC